GGGAGCATATGGAAATGGGGGCTTCTGGGAGACAGCGCTTGTGTGGACGCTTGCTGAGGGTCTGTGCTTTGACTTGGATGAGAAGGTGGCATGGGGTGCTAGCATTTACAGGATTGGGTCTTTGTTCCTTCGGAGGAATTCTCCAGTTTTGGTTCTTAAGAATGGAGGGATGAATGAATGACCTTCCTATTTCAGGGCCAGGAATCGGGAGGGGCTGCCCTGGTCATGGAGAAGGAATCCAGCAGAGTTCTTGATGGCACCCTGCTTTGAAGTTGGGCCTTGACATTACTAGGGGGTCAAATTTAGTGAAAACTTGCCCTTCTGGGAGACAGAAGCTTAGACCAAACCTGAGAATGTGGGGCCTAGGGAGATAAGTCAGAGACAGCTACAGTGGACTGGTCTGGCCTGGTTTGCTCCTCCTCTGGTAGGTCTGGTTCTTGGCTAGAGTGGCCCGCCCTGCCCCACCCTACCTGGTGGACTGGGGAGGCGCCCAGTACATGTATGTGGAGGGTTTGAACTCTAAACAGTCTCTGCTGACTGTAAATACTTGTGGGGTGGGGACTTGGGGACCCTGCTGTCTTGGGGGCCTTCCCCTGCCTGGGCCTGTCTGCCAGTCACATGTCGTTGAGTGAGCCCTGCCCTTTCCATCCCCTTCCAGAAAGGGGTCATTTGTGGTGGGAGATGTGGTCTAGACATCTCCTTTGCCAGGATACGCCTGCTGTTCCCACACCTTTAGAGCTTCTCTGAGCTGCATGCCATGCATCTCCCTTAAGCTCCTTGTCCCCAGAATGCCTTCGGAGGTTCTACTACCTTCCACCGCAGCTCTCTGTGGCTATCACTCACTTGTTCAGCAAATCTTGCTTGAGCTCTGCCAGGTATTGGGGTGACATCAGTGAACAACCAAGATCTCTGCCTGAATGAAACTTGCCTTCCAATTTTCAGGGTAACTTCTGGTGACTCTGAGTTTTCCCACTGACCTGTTTTTCTGTACCCAGTTCTCTCCCTCTCCATCAAGAACCTGCGTGTACTTTTCTACTGAGCAGTACCAGCAGGTGTCTGTACTTTATTGAGAACAGGGTATTGCTGGCTTAGGCCTTTCCTGCCTGACCCTGGCTCCTGGGGATTGGTACCTGCATACCTGTTGGCCCCTGTGAATTCTCTTCTGTGTCCTTAGCTCCATTCCTCCCCACATGGAGCTTAACACAGCCCAATGGTGGCTTGCCTCTTCCTTGGCCATTACCTTTTGAATTCATTTCTGCACTCTAAAATGTGTCTTTCTCCAAGGTTTGTCTTCATCTTCTCTGCTGCTTGGACAAGCCCCTCTGTCCTTCCATGGCCTTTGGTGTTGCTGTTGGATCAACATGAAGCTCTCTGCCAGTGTCTGGGTCTTGGCCTGCTTTGCACTTGACTTACTGATTGTTTAATATTTTTTTAGTTGTCAATGGACCTTTATTTTATTATTTATGTGTGGTGCTGAGAATCAAACCCAGTGCCTCACACATGCTAGTCAGGTACTCTACCACTGACCTACAACCCCAGCCCGACTCATTAGTTTTTAACCAAATGAGATCCATGCATATCTTTCAGGCCCCCCTCCCCCATTTCACATTCCAGCTTCTCCTTTTTTCTTGTGACAAACATCCTGTTGATTCTTTCTTCATCATGTCTTCCATGAAGCTGCTGGTTGCTCCTTTTCTGTATTTTCAGCGACTTCCTCCCTGGTTTGGTGCTTGTGTTCCAGGAACTGCCTCCTGACCCTGCTCTCTGCCCCACTGCGTCTGGCATTGTTGGCAGGCCTGCCTTTTAAAACTCCGTCAGGCTTGGCTTCTTGGACCTGCTGCCACCCAGGCCTAGACAGGTTTTATTTTCTGTAGCTCTGACTTACAGTGGCTATCCCTTTTTCTCTCCCTTGTTCCTCTTGCCCTACCCTCTCCCCAGCCACATGACTTCCCTGCTGTTCTGGGGAAGGGCCTAGCTTACTTCCTGCCTCTTAAGAGTCTCAATACCTAGGGTGCTAGTTCCCTGTGTTCAAACTCCTCCCCAGTGCCACATGTCAGCCTGTGCTCACTGTTTGTAACTTGTCCCCAGGGGTGTGAACCCTGGAGGTGCTCGTCTGTTGCACATATGTGATGCAGCCTGACATGGGGCTGTGCCTGCAGAGGGAGCCTCCAGTGCCTCCCCGCCCAAAAAAAAAAAAATACACTTTGACCAGAAAAGTTCCAGGAATGGCCTCTTGAAGATGGGCCCAGACCCCTAGGCTAATGGTGTTACAAATCTTGGCCTGGTGGTATCTGGGCATCTCAGGATACCATTAGAGGAAGCAATATGGTCCATTGTATCCCTGTCCTAGCCTGCTCCCTCCAGTTTGCTCCTTGTCATCTCCACATGTGCTATTATCCTTGCCCTCTGTCCCATCTTGTGATTTCCTATTCACTGTCACTGTTTCCTTCAGAACTGCCTGGTCTGTCATCTTTCCACCCCCTACCCCCACCTTGCTGTCCTGGAGGTGTTGCTGTGTTTGGGTCACTGTTCTGTCTCCTCATCTCTGAAAAGACAGAGCCCTTTGGAATTCAGCTCTTCTCAGTGCTGGAACAAGAGCAGGCTTTTTTTTTTTGGGGGGGGGGGGCAGTGCTAAGAAATCAATAAAATGTTACAAAGGCTGGAATTGTCCTAGTTCCTTCTGCCTCTGACCTGTGTTGTCTCTGTGGTCAAGCCAGTCATTGCTCTCTTCAAAATGAATATAGTATGGGCACCCTGGGTAAAGACAGGACAAAGTATGCCATTGCCACTTGCTCCAGAGGAGACAGGCCACCCCTAGAGTCCAGCTCCCCTATTGCCATGTGGTGGGAGGCCTGAAGACCACAGGGAGGGCAGAACTTTCCTGAGTTCTCATGGTCAGGGTGGGTGATGACCCCAGATTCCTGACCTCTTTCCTGTGCCTCATCCTCTTCTTTGCTTGCCCTTTCTTTTCCCTGGTTATTTAGGGAGGGTCCTGTCTATCAAGGCCACAGGGCCTGCTGTGTGGCATGGGGTGCTGAAAGCTGCCCTTCCTGACAAAGCACAGCCCCTCCCAGCCCCCAGTTTAGCTCTGACTTCCAGTTTAGGGGCTGGAGTAGTGGGAAGTTGGGTGGTGAGTCCAAAAGCTCTGGCCTGGAGGTAAAGACTTGCTTATGGTCAGCTACTTCTGACCCTGAGGTCACATCCATCAGTAGAAGCTTTAGCCTGCTAGTACTGGGGAGGGGACGTGTGTGTGTGTGTGTGTGTGTGTGTGTGTGCAGTATTATGAGCATTGAACCATGGGCCCCACACATGGAGGGCAAGCATTCTACCACTCCACTCTACCACCCAGCCTAGACTGTGGTGGCTCTTCCAGGCTATTGTCCCTGGATATTAGCTAAGGACTGATTGGCTACCCTGGACCTGCATCTGGGCTACTGATCAGTGGGCCACTCATGATTTTCCAGACCTTTCTTGACTGGAAATACTGGGACTTAAGGTGGGACAAAGATGCCTAGAATCTCAAGCAAGGCTTTTGGGACTCTAACTAGGTCTCCCTAAGGTAGCAGGCAGCAGGCTGAGGAGTGCTAGGGAACAGGGCTAGGTGTCACAGCAGATTAGGAACCCTAGCGGGCCACAAGGGCTATTGTAGGAGAGAGAGGTGGACTGTGGGCACTCAGCCAGAGAGGAAAGTGGGAAATGGTTCTAACTGTGGCTGTTGCTTCTGGAGGCCCTTCTGCCCCTCTGGTGCTTTTGGCTCCCCATGTGAGTGCTAACTTGGGGAGCCCTCAGCTGTGCTAAAGAGGCCTGCAGGTGGCTCCTGGCTCACCTCACCTCCCTCCTACAGCCCTGGGTGCCGCCTATGGCACGGCCAAGAGTGGCACCGGCATCGCAGCCATGTCAGTCATGAGGCCGGAGCTGATCATGAAGTCCATCATCCCAGTGGTCATGGCTGGGATCATCGCCATCTACGGCCTGGTGGTGGCAGTCCTCATCGCCAACTCCCTGAATGATGGTATTAGCCTCTACAGGTGAGTGTGGGGAGTGCCATGCCTGGTACTGTCTTGCCTTGGTAGGCAGGCTGCTAACGGCCCTATATCTTTTCTCTTCTCCAGGAGTTTCCTCCAGCTTGGTGCAGGCTTGAGCGTGGGCCTGAGTGGCCTGGCAGCTGGCTTTGCCATTGGCATTGTGGGGGATGCCGGTGTTCGGGGCACTGCCCAGCAGCCCCGGCTGTTTGTGGGCATGATCCTGATCCTCATCTTCGCTGAGGTGCTTGGCCTCTACGGTCTCATCGTGGCCCTCATACTTTCCACAAAGTAGCCCCTCAAGCTCACCAGCCACAGAACACGATGTAAAGACCACCCCCCTCCTCATTCCAGAACGAACAGCCTGACACACATGCACGGGCAGCCACCCCCTCCTCCGTAGTTGGTCTTGTAAATGCGCAGTGTCCTAGTGCCCATTGTCTGTTGCCCCGCCTGGCCCCTTCCTCCCCGTGCTGTGGACATTGGGCCCACTCATCTCCCATCCAGGCCCCCGACCAGTGAGGATGCCAGCCTCCGGCCCCCCGCCCTAGAGTGCTCTGTGTATAAGGATGAATTAGAGTTGTCATTTTTCTCTTCACTGGATGTTTATTTATAAAAGATTTGACCTGTTCATGCGTCTGTGGAGCAACCCTTGTCTCCCAACTATATAGTACCCTTTAGGTAGAGTGTTGCCTTGTGGGGTCCCCCTTGCCGAGACTCCTTGGATGGAACCGCCCCTTGCGCCCGGTGCCCCGGTCGGGGGCAGAACGCCAGCCACCAGGCCTTGGCGCCCAGCTGTGTCCAATAAAGTTCTCGGATGTGATAGGCCTGTGTCCCAGCGCTTGTGTGGGCGGGGCGGGCCAGGCTGGCGCCGCACGTCAATGCGTCACGGGTCACGTGGGCCGGCGGGTCACGTGGGTGGGGCGATCATGTGGTGCCCGCCCCAGTCAGCTGAGGGTCACGTGGCGCGGGGGCCTGCCGGCTCCGAGTTGCCGCTGCTCACGATGCGCGGCGGGCAGGGCGCGACGCGGGCACCGGTGCTCCAGTTCACCAACTGCCGCATCCTGCGCGGTGGCGCACTGCTCAGGTGCGGGGGCCGGGCGGGGACAGCGCGGTGTGGGGCTGGGTTGGGCAACGGGACCGGTGGGCAATCTGAACGCCTGCCGCTGTGTGAGCAGGGAGGACCTGTGGGTGCGTGAGGGCCGCATCCTGGATCCGGAGAAGCTGTTCTTCGACGAGCGGCGCGTGGCCGACGAGCAGCGGGACTGCGGGGGCTACATCTTGGCGCCAGGCTTCATCGACGTGCAGATCAACGGTGCGGCCAGGGCCAGGGACGCAGGGGAGGAGCCCCGAGCACTCTGCGACCGCCTCTTTTTCTGGCCCTAGGTGGATTTGGTGTCGACTTCTCCAAGATCACAGAGAATGTGGGTTCGGGGGTTGCGCTGGTGGCCCAGAGGATTCTGTCCCACGGTGTCACCTCTTTCTGTCCCACCCTGGTCACTTCCCCACCAGAGATTTATCATAAGGTGAGGTCAGGCTCCAGGCTTCAAGCAAAAGGGGCGGGGGCGGTCTCTGGAAGCAATCATCCCCTTAACTTTTAAATCTCTTGCTGTTCTCTCTCCAAACACATCGTATGAATCTGAATCTGTTCTCCCTCCACTTGGGCCTGGGGTGGGGGTCCCCTGGCCTTTATTCATCAGCTGTCCCTCTTCCTTCTAACTGCCTCTGCAGTGCTCCCCACTTTTGCTGTTTCAGCGTCCTCATCTGCCACAGCACCTCCCTACCCCCACTGCCGGCCTCCAATCCTCCTGGAGCAAGCAAGGTTGTTGGAGACACAACCATTGCCTGGGGTCAGACTCGTATTTCTTGAATGGTGTGTACCTCACTTGAACATGTCTTCCAGAAAGAGCTGCTCTCCCAGTGTTTCCAGCCTAATTTATCTTACATTTCCCACCCTTCTACCTTTCTTGCTGCTTAGAAGAAATTCCATTGTTCTTGTCCAGTTTTCCTTGGAAGTTTTGTCCTCTGAGCTGTTTCTCCCTGAGTGTGTTGCTGTCCTTTCCAGAAGGCTTTGAGAGTAGGTTGCATATGCATGCCTCTGTATCCTTTAATACTTAACTTAAAAACATGGGTATTCTCTTACACTACCATAACGTGGCTGGTAAATTTAGGAACTGAACACTTTTTTTTTTTTTTTAATATTTATTTTTTAATTTTCGGCAGAGACAACATCTTTATTTGTATGTGGTGCTGAGGATCGAACCCAGGCCGCACGCATGGCAGGCGAGCGCGCTACTGCTTGAGCCACATCCCCAGCCCGAACTGAACACTTTTAACCATGGTTAATTGATCTTGTTCTTTCAGTTTTGTCATTTGCCCCATCTGACTTTTCCTGTACTACAGAATCCACTGCAGAAATGTATGACTGTCTGTGGGTCCCTTTCTGAGTGTGAGCAGGGAGCTGTGGGAGGTTGTGGGTGGGCTCTGAGTTTGGGCTTCCTGGGCCTTGGTCCTGGCCTCCTGTGTTTATTTAGGTATTGGGGATTGAACTCAGGGGCACTCTATCACTGAACTGTACCCCCATCCTTTTTCAAATTTGTGAGACAGGGTTTCATTACGTTTTGGAGGCTGGCTTCCAACGTGTGATCCTCCTGCCTTAGTCTCCTGAGTCACTGGGATTACAGGTGTGCACCTGGTGGCCTTCTGACTCTTGTATCAGCCAAAATATTTGGAACAACCTTCTTTATTAACCTTAGTTTCCTCAATTGAAAATAATCTTCGTCTCTCAGGGTCTTTGGATCCTGTGCTTGGTGCATATGAAGCATTTGGTAAATGTTAATTAAGGATGTCTTCCTGGAAATTTTCCACAGCTCTGCAACCACACAAATATCAAAAACCAAACTCAATTGTCCTGCTGCAGTTAGGCATCTGGTTTCCCAGCTGCCTTCTTAGGCTCTGGTCCTTTCCAAGATAACAGGACTCAGCATATCTCTAACATTCCCTTTGTACCTGCTGAACCTGTTCTCTTTCCCCAGGCACATTCCTGTAGTTCCAGGTTTCCCCTCTCCTGCCCCCAAGCTCTACCTGGAAGGCCTTGCTCTCCTGCTTCTCAGTTGCTTCCTTGCCCTTGCGCCACCTGAAGGTCTTTCTGGCATGATGTAGACACTCTGCCCCAGAGGGAGGACTGGTGAAGAGTGCGTGTTTTCTTCTCATCACTCACTGGGCCCAGGTGTGTTACAAACAAGACTCTTCCAAGACGAAAGCCTTGGGCCATCTGCCAATGTTGGAGATTGTGGAGGGTTTGGGATGTGTAAACTTAATACTAATATCATGGAAACCGGAGGACCTTTCCCTCAACAAGCACCCAACCTTCCTTCCGGGCCCCTTCACACTGGGTAGAAATGGATTGCCGCTTTGCCAGAAGTTAGCCAGGTCTTTTGTTGTTGAAGTCTGATCTGACACCAGCTGCTCCTTTCCTGGGCCTCCTTCAGCCCTGCCTTTTACTCTCCTTCCAGGCAGCAGATCTGTTCACATTATTCTCAGTTTCAAGGGCTTATCTGCTGAGTCAAGGGAGAGTACCTCCTTGCCTTTGACCCCACTGTCCTTCACACTTGGGCCTTTCCAGTTGCTCCCTGCTTTCTTTCCCTCTAGCTTGGCTTGAACATGTCCTTTCTCTTTACTCCTCTCCTGCTTTCCTTCCAGACTTTAATCTAGCAAAACTCAGCCATTATCTTTTTTTTTTTTAATCTCTATTGAATTAAATGTATATCCACAGCTTGTTGGAACATCAGCAGCTCTTTGCCCCAACTTGTTCCCTCCCTAGGTGCCATCACTTTCAACTCAGCTGTTCTTTAGGAATTCACCTGCATACTAGAAAATATGCTAGTATTCCTATTCAGTTTTCTAGTTTGGGGCAATATTTCTTGCTTCCCACCAGAACAGATGAGGACTAGTTCTCTCTCATCTTTTTCTTTCTTTTTTTTTTTTTTTAAATACCTTTATTTTTCTTTATTTATTTTTATGTGGTGCTGAGGATCGAGCCCAGGGTCTCGCACGTGCGAGGTGAGTGCTCTACTGCTGAGCCACAACCCAGCCCATCTTTCATCTTTTTCTATGTCTCATTCTCATTAAATAGTATTTTTTATTAGATCAGCCACATAACTCAGACATGGGGGCTGCTGTGTATAATTCCAAGGTTTGAGTTATTTTCTCTTTTCTAAACTCTGCTTTTCCTGGAGTTAACATACTTTTTTTTTTTTTTTAATAGCTAGTAACTCAAGTTCTGTAGTTTCCTGCTGACAGTTGTTACTCTTAGGCCATTTAAACACAGAATGGGCTCCATCAGTTTTGGCTTCCTGCTTTCCCCAGCACTTCCTGTTGTCTCACTAGGGCTGAGCAGTCCTGGTATCACCATTCTCCACCATCTGGGGAGTCTATCCACCTTTCTGCTGAGTCTTCCATGTCCCAGAGCCTCTTGTATTTTCATCTTGGTGGTTTACACTTTTCATTTTGGTGGAATACATCCTCCAGTAGCTTCTGAAGAAAAGGATCATGGGACAATAAGTTTTTTGAAGCCTCAAAGGACTGAAAATATCTTTATTCTATTGATCCATGGTAAGAAGCAATTTTCCCCTAGGATTTTTTGTTTTGTTTTGTTATTGGTGGTGCTGGGGCTTGAACCTGAGGCCTCATTCATCTAGGCAAGTCCGCTACCGCTGAGCTACACCCTACCCTTAAAAAATTAAAAAAAAAAAAAAATCTGAGACAGGGAATTAATTAAATTTGACTAATAAACTTCCTGGGCTGGTCTCAAACTTTGGATTCTCCTGCCTCAGCCTCCCAAGTAGCTGGGATCACAGGTGTGCACCACTGAGCCCACTTGGTTGTTTTGAATTATTTCCTTGGTGACTTTTTGCCTGTCCTATGTCATCATTTTATGGGAGTCTCACTGGTCCACAGTTGGGCCTCCTGGGCCCATTCTCTGATTTTTTTCTCTTGTATTTTCTTATTGACTCCATTTTCTAGGTATTTCCTCAGCTTTTATCTTCCAGTTCTTCTCTTGGATTTCTTGCTTTGGTGCTCACATAATTTAAGCTTTGAAGAGCTTCTTCTGTCCCCCACCCCATGTTCCTTGTCTTAAATATTGTATTCTTGCTTCATGGACACATGACCTTTCATTGTCCAGAGGATGTCAACAGCTCTTTCCTGTGTCCCTTCTTGATGTGACAGTCCCTGGCTCAGTTCTACTGTTGGCTGCCCCTTGTTGTCTTAGGGTGCTCTGAGGGCTGGGGATACCCACAGGTCAGGGTCCCCGGGTCCTGCCTCAGGCTTGTCAGAATGCCAAGGAAGCCTTGTTCTGCTCAGAGGAAACAGGCCTGCCTGGTGACTTGGCGAAAGTCTTCAGGATGTAAACTTCTACTTTCTTACTGATTTCTCTGCTGCTCCTTGACCTACCCTTTCCCAGAGGCCCTCTCTCAGCCAGGGACACCTGGGGCAGGTATTCTAGGGACCCAGCTGCTCTCAAACAAGACTCCTTTGTCAGTGCCTGCCCCCAACCCATTTCTCGCAGCACCAGGCACTGAAGAGCCTGAGCCCATGGTCCTTTCTCAGTCTGTGGCCCACCTATATCTGTCCAGGATCTGCTTGTCTAACTTTCAGAGTCTGACTGCCTTTCTCTCTCCCTCTCTTTTTTTTTTGTTAAATATTTATTTTTTGGTGTAGATGGACACAACACAATGCATTTTATTTTTATGTGGTGCTGAGGATTGAACCCGGGTCCCACCCGTGCTAGGTGAGCGGCTCTACCACTGAGCCACAATCCCAGTCCCTCTCTCTTCCTCTTTAAGGTCTTTAAGGTTTGAGGTCTTTTTTTGGAGGTGGGAGTACTGGAAATTGAGCCTAGAGGAGCTCTAGCACTGAGCTATAACCCCAGCCCCCCCCCCCCTTTTTTTTTTAATTTTGAGACAGGATCTTTCTAAGTGGTGCTTAAGGTCCTGAGTTTGATCTCCAGCATCAGAAAAAATCAATCAATCAACCTTCACTTTTGTTTGGGGCAGGGAGTTCTGGGGAGGGTGCAGTTATCACTTTTGTTCAGCAGGGAGTCCTGAGGGAGTTGCAAGCAGCCTGCCACCCTTGCCCAGGGACCCTTGCAGAGCTGCAGGCTATGGAAAGCCCTTGCCCACCTGGGAGAAACATGGCATGGGCTGGGTTGCCTGGCCTTTCAGCCCCTGAGATCAATCGTGAGCCTTGTCATTCCTCCCCAATGCTGTGACCTTTCTGATCAAGTGTGGCCTGGGCTGTGAGTGCTGAGCCCTGACTCTACCTGCACTGAGCACTCTGGCCTTGCTGCTTGTACCTGCTCCTGCCTCCTGGCCTTGCTGCTCAGGAAGGTTATGGTCACTTTGTTGGGGCCTCTACTCCACTTACGTTCTAGCTGCTGCTGGATGGAGGCCACCCTGAGGGCCAGAGCAGGTTGGCGCCACCTTTGGTGCCCCTGCTCCTGTCCTCGTGGCATGGAAGCTCTGTTGCCTCGGTCCTCTGGGCAGGCTGTCTGGTGTCCCCCATTCGTAATTTCCTGCTCTTGACCATTGTGTGGGGCCTTTGGCCATCTTCTAGATCCTGGGAGGGATGGCCAGTGGGTCTGGGCTGGGCCAGGGCCCTGAACTCTACCTGAGATCTCTGGGTACAGGGCTATGGGGGGGCAGGGCTTTAACAGCTGGTTCCCCCCAGGTCCTTCCTCAGATCCCCGTGAAGAGTGGTGGTCCCCATGGGGCAGGGGTCCTCGGTGAGTGGCTGATCCCCTCGTGCCCCCACCCTGGGAGACCCCTACCCACCAGGTGCCCAGATGGGGAGGGAGGGAGGGTGTGCAGGCACAAGGGGTTGATGTGGGCTGTAGGACGGGGGTGCCTGCTGGAGTCACCCTCATTTCCTCCCTCTAGGGGTGCACCTAGAGGGCCCGTTCATCAGCCAGGAGAAGCGGGGTGCACACCCTGAGGCCCACCTCCGTTCTTTTGAGGCCCATGCCTTCCATGATGTGCTGGCCACCTATGGTCCCCTGGACAACGTTCGCATTGTGACACTGGCCCCTGAGCTGGGCCGCAGCCACGAAGTGATCCAGGCACTGACAGCCCAGGGCATCTGCGTTTCCCTAGGTGAGGGGCCGTCAGCAGGGGCGGGGTCTGCAGCTGGAGTAGAGTCTGAACTCAGGTCCCCTATGCAGGGCACTCTGTGGCTGACCTACAGGCTGCAGAGGAAGCAGTACAGAGTGGGGCCACCTTCATTACCCACCTCTTCAATGCCATGTTGCCTGTGAGTGCTGCCCTGGCTCCTGGAGGGGTGGGCTTTTGGCAGCCTCTGTCCTCACTCAGCCAGCTCCTCCTGTCCTGCCCAGTTCCACCACCGTGATCCTGGCATTGTGGGGCTCCTGACCAGTGACCGCCTGCCCCCTGGGCGCTGCATCTTCTACGGAATGATTGCCGATGGCATACACACCAATCCTGCAGCTCTACGCATTGCCTACCGGGCCCATCCCCACGGTGAGCCTCCATGGAGGAGGGGCAGTAGAAGTTAGTTGTTCAGCTTGCCCACCAGGCCCATCCCCAGGGTGAGTCTCCAGGGAGGAGGGGCATTAAAATCAGTTGTCCTGGTCCTGAAGCACTTCTCCTCTAGGGCTGGTGCTAGTCACTGATGCTGTCCCTGCCCTGGGCCTGGGCAATGGCCGTCATACACTGGGACAGCAGGATGTCGAAGTGGATGGGTTGACGGCCTATGTGGCAGGTGAGTGACTCCCATGCTCACAGGAAAGCAGCCCCTCAGCCTCTTGGGGGGGCGGGGTGTGGAATTTGGGTATCCCCTGCTTGCCTTCTGGGCTCCCAGGCCCACAGTTCCCCTGGCCTCTCTGCTCTCAAGGCACCAAGACGCTGTGTGGCAGCATAGCACCAATGGATGTCTGCGTCCGGCATTTTTTGCAGGCCACAGGTTAGTGGGCCAGTGTGTCTCTGTGTCTAGGAACAGAGGCCACCTCTGGGATGAACTGGGGCGGGGTAGGATTATGGGAATCCTGTTTCAACAATCTTCACCTGCCCATGTTGGGGTGGTGGTTTCCAGGGGATGGACTGGACACTGGAATGTGGCCAAGACCCTGCAGAGAGCTCATAAGCATGGTAGCATGGCTGTGTGGTAGCAACAGGTTGATGGGCAATGAAACCACAGACCCTGGGAGGGGCAGGGCCCCTTATCCTACTTGCAGAAGGACCAAGGCTCCAGCCCTATGGGATGGGGGGCTTCTCAGGGACAGCACAGATGGTCAGGTGGGATGGGGTGGGGCAGGATTGGCACTGCGGGCCCCTGGGATAGGTTGTGCAGTGCCCTTGCACAGCAGCAGATGAGGAGAGGCTAGATGCCATTCTGGTGGCAGTAGGTATCACTGTCCATTGTACTGTTTAAATCAGATGGGCTGAGGACAAGGGACAGCAAGGGGACAGCCTAGGAGGCAGGACATGGCTGTGTCCTAACCCCAGGACTGATCAGAGTGGTGAAGTGAATATGGTCATTTGACCTCTTGGTTAGGGGAGCAGAGAGCAGAGCCCTGGGTTCCTGCTAGGCTGGTGACATAGTGAGCCCTGGTATTACTTCTTTGCATTTGGGGGCTCTCCCCAGGATTCAGGAGAAAGTGGAGGGTCCTGTGGGCATGTGGGACCAGAGAGTGCTTTGTTAGGGAGAAGAGAAACCCTGCAGGCAGGGATGGTGCCTGGGCTGAGGAAGAGAGGAGCAAGTACTATCCCCTAGAGCTGGGGTAGGGATTGGCTGTTAACATGTTGCAGAGTCTTGGGCTGTCCCCCCTTGTTTCCAGGCCCTAAAATGGGAGCTTGGAACTGTGAGTAGGGGAGGGGCTGTGGGACCTTACCATGATGTGTCCCAAACAGGCTGCAGTGTGGAGGCAGCCCTGGAGGCTGCATCCCTGCATCCTGCCCAGCTGCTGGGGCTGGAGAAGAGCAAGGGGAGTCTGGACTTTGGTGCTGATGCAGGTGAGGCTCCACATAGGAGAGGCCCAGTAAAGGGCTGGGTCAGGGCCCAGGTGAGTGAGTGAGTCTTCCCGGTTTCTGGCTCCCTGGTGGCATTGCCTGCCATAGTCTCTCTCTGGCTCTCTATTCCCCTTGGCCAGGCTTTCTGGCATCCAAGATAAGGCCAGACCAGGGCTGCAGGGAGTAGTCCCTTGTCCCTGACTGTGAGGAGTTGGACTCTTGGTTCTAGAACCTATGCCAGTCTGTGATGGTCAGGACATCCTGCATGAGTCATGTCCCTGGGCCTCAGCTTCCCCACTGGGTTCAATTGTGGGGGGAATGACTCCATATGGGGGGTTGGGGTGGTCCCATCCCATCCCTTCTTACCCTGTGGCTCTGCCCCAGACTTCGTGGTGCTCGACGACAACCTCCGTGTCCAGGCCACCTACATCTCTGGTGAGCTGGTGTGGCAAGCAGAGGAAGCCAGGCTATAACCAAGGACCTCAGCAGGAGAGGATGCCCAGCCCCAGATGGACACTGACATGGCGGACATTTGAGGGAGCTGGTCTCCAGAGAGCAAGTTGGGACCCCTCCTCCAGGTTGGCCCTTCCAGAGCCTCAAGTGGCCCTGGAGGCAGTGGCTCGGATAAATGTGTGGCCAGCAAGACTTGCCTTGTCTCTGGGTGTTGATTGTTTTTGAAGCAGGGCTGCTGTCTTGGGGCCTCATTGAAGGTGTTTGTGTCTTGGGGCAGAAATGGTTGGATTCCTTGTGGGCCCCCTATTAGGCTGGACCTGTCTGAGGTCTATAAATCCACAGGAAGTGAGCAGGGAGTCCTTCAGTGTGGCGGGTGGAATGGAATCATGGCCATGGTTGGAAGACCACAGGAAGGAGTTGGGGACAGTGATGGTGGGTGGTTTTTAATGTTTAGTCACATCCCCTGAGCTGGGTGGGCAGAGGGGAGACCCAAGGCCCAGTTCTGGACCTGGGCACAGTTCCAGGCCCTCTGTTGAGACCTTCATGAGGGTGTCCACACTGGTCTTGGAACCCCAGGTCACCCAGCACTGAGTGCAGGAGGTAGTACCCAAGGGTCCCAATCCAGACTAGGACCCCCAGCTAGCTGTTTATCCCTGGCCTGCTGACTTGCCTGACCTCAGTCCCATCACCTAGTGCCCTTGTGCATAGTCATGGTTCTATGTTCTTCTACATCATAGCTCAGCAGCCCCACCTCCCCAACCTGCCCCTGGTGGGTTTGACAAGCCCTCCCCTTGCCCACCATAGTTTGGTGGCTATGGAGACCTGCCAGTGCTGTTGGGAAGCTCAGGGTCTCACCACTGTTCAGGGGCCCTTCAACTTATGCTTGCTTCTTTAATGTTGCTTGGGCAACACATTCCAGTGTTCTACTCCAACACATTCTTGGTCTTCCTCCATTAAAGTACCATGGGCCATCAGGCTCTTTGGATAGCTTCAAGGTGGGCAGGCTGTGGGGGCCCTCCTGGCTCTGAGGATGACCGTGACACAGGGGGGTCAAGCCTGGGAGTGGTATATTGACTTTCTTCCCATTTGGGTCCTGGAATAGGTGGCTCCACCCCCTTTTATGTGATGAGATTATTCCTTGGTGCAAAAGAAAAATGTGCCAGGATGCTGTTGTATGTTGCTTCCAATAAAAGAAATGTCTCCAGGCCACAGCAACAAAACCACTCATGGGCTTTTACCTGGACTGTGGGCAAACATCCGGGGGAGAACAGCTGGTGGGATAGGGGTACATCAGGCCAGGTCTCAGCCCGTGTGTTCCTGGGTACACACCATCAGCCCAAGAATGTGAGTCTATGGGATCCCAACCTTCCAAAAGCTGTAGGTGCAGGGATGCTTAGGTCTGTCCCATAGCCACACGCCTTTCAATATGTGGCTGGCCACCCCCTGCAATGTGTCCAGTGCTGGGAGACAGTTGTGAATATGGGTCACGCTGGGCCTATCCAGCAGGGCTCATTATGGCCATGAGAGGCAGGTGAGCTTGACCCTCACCTGGTTTCAGGCTTTGCTCTTAAATACTTTACTAGTGTTGACTCATTTCCATCTTTCTGCCAGAAAACCAATGAGGAAGCTGGGTGTGATGGCTGTAATCCTATAACCTATAATCCTAGCTACTGGGGGGTGGGGGCAGTGGTGAGGCAGCAGGACTGCAAATTTAAGGCCAGCCAGGGCAAATTAGTGAGACCCTGTCTCAAAAAATATAAAGGGTTGGGGATGCAGCACAGTGTTACAGTGCCCCTGGGTTCGCTTCTCAGTATTGGAGGAAAAAAAAAAATCCAAAGAGGAGGCCTATTTGTCATTTTTGCTTCTCTCTTGGGGAAACTGGAGTACTGAGTCCTAGAGCTACAGAGTGCCCCGGGGGCTGGAAATGTAGCTCAATGGTAGAGTCCTTTTCTAGCCAGGCCCTGGGTTTCATTCCCAGCATGGGGGACAGGGTAATTTAGCCCAGGCACACCCTGCTTCATTCCATCCAGCTGCTTCTCTGGATGAAGAGGAGGGAAGGGCTCCTTAGAGGGGTGGACAGTGGGTGTGACATTCAGATGATGGGAGCTACCTTTGTGGAAGAGTTTCAGGCAAAGCTAACTGTCCCAGCAAGGCCAGAGACACAGATGTGTGTGTGTTGGTGGAACAAAGACCGCCACTGCAGTCAATGGAAAGAGGTGCAAGCAGGGCTCTGGACCTGCCGTAGGAGTTTAGGTTTTAATTGAGGTGCAAGGGGAAATGCCACTGGGTTTTAAATTTTTTAAATTATGACAAAATGTAAAATGTACTTTTTTTTTTCAGTACTGGGGATTAAACCCAGGGGTGCTCTATCACTGCGGGACACCCCTAGCTCGCCTTTTTTTGGTAACAGGGATTGAACCCACTGAGTTACATCCCCAGCCCTTTATTTAAGATGCTGAGGCTGGTGAACTTGTGATCCTCCTGCCTCAGGCTCCAGAGTCACTTGGATTACAGGCGAGCTCCACCACACCTGGCAAGTTTACCATTCTGATCACTCTGAAATGTACAGTTCCGTGGCACTAAGCACATTCATATTGTGTGCAGCCATCACACCTCCATCTTCCCAAAGGGTGACCTCACTTTTGCCCCATCCAAAGCTCTGAGCTGGAGGGCTGTAAACGGAAGGGTGGGTTGCCGCTTAGGTCATCCTGGGGGTGCTGGGGGGCCGGGCCGCCCTGGCCGTGGGTGCCAGCGGTGCTGCCACAGGCTGTATGGTGGGTGTGGATTGGGGGACAGTGAGGCTGGTGTGCCCGCTGAGTCACAGTGGGGGCGGGGGAGCCTGGTGGGTGGCAGAGCTGGTGTTTGTGAGACACCTGGCCTGTCGCTCTGTCTGTTGGCTGTGTGCAGCTTGAAGAGGTGCTTTGGCAAGTGTAATTCTGCGGGCACCACCCGGTGGCCTTCCAGAACACCCTCTAGGGCACGCAGGACTGAGCCACCGCAGGTTCAAGTCCTCATGCTGGAGACCCAGCCAAGCCCTTTTATCTCCAGGCCTCGAGGCTCCCAGGACCATTGGCATATGGTGGGGTGATGCGCGGGTCTCCCTAGTCAGATACCCCTGCTGGGGCACAGCAGCAGAAGAAAGCGGAGGGCCCAGTCCAGGAGGCCTATTCTGTCCTGGCGGGGGGCTGGAGGTGGGGCGCGGGTGGGCACGTGGACTCGCCCGCCTTAGGAGGGCTGCTTCTGGTGGTCTCTGCTGGGGCCAATCACAGTGGCCAACTGAGAGGGACGTGTGCTCTGCTCAGGGCAGACTCTGCTGCACCCCACTCATAGCACTTTGACGATTCCCTGGGCCCCGCCCCAGCCTGTTCTTCCCTGACTATGATTCTGGAGTGCAGGTGGACCAAGGGCACCTTCCCAGTCCCATGGTCAGCCGCCAGGTGTGCCCCTTCCAACCTGATCCTGCGCCTTTTACCACAGTGTCACAGTTTATTACTAAGTGGTATTGCACTTTTGGTACTGCTTGGCAATTCTCTATTTTTAAAGTGAGCATGTGGGGAGCTTCCCAGATGGGAGTGCATGGATCTGTCTCTATTGTAAAAGGTGCCTGGGTCCTTTCTGTAAACATGGGTGTTCCGTGACAGTAACCAGTTCTCACCACACCCTTGCTAAGGATTGCCTGAGGGTGGAAATGGGCGTATCTGGGGATCCAGATACTCCAGGGCATTCCTCTTCCCTCTGTGGCCTTGTCCCCTTGTGATCCCAAGAAGACCAGAGAACGGCCTTCTGCATGAGTTTCCTGTTGCTGCTGTAACAAATCACCTCAAACCTGTTTAAAACAATTGGAACTTATGGTTTTATGGTTCTGGAGGCCCATGTAAGAAATAGGTCTCATGGGCTGAAGTCAAGGCAGGTGCAAATCTGCAGAGGCTCCTGTTCTGCTTTGTTTCCTAGAGGCTGCTGACTCCTTTTCTTTTGCAAAGCCAGCAGTGGCCAGCAAGCCTCCTTTTGTATGTTTAGAGACCCTTGTGATTATACTGGGCTCGCTGGAGAACCCTGGCTAGTCTCCTTTTTTTTTTTTTTTTAGTTATACATGGATACAATATCTTTATTTTGTTTATTCATTTTCTTGTGGTGCTGAGGATCGAACCCAGTGCCTCACATGTGGGAGGCAAGCACTCTGCCACTGAGCCACAACCCCAACCCTAGTCTCCCATTTTTAAGGTCAGCAGAATAGCAGCCTTAATCCCCCCTTTTCTGTAGATCATGACATACTCACAGTGTCGGATCAGGTACTGAACATCCTTGGACAGACCATTATTCTGGAGAGAAGGCCCCAGGCAGAAGTGTTCCTGCTCAGGTCTAAAAGAGATACTAGTTCCATCTCAGGTTTCAGCATCTAACATCACAAAAAACTAAAAAAGGAGATACCATATTTCTGTCATCAGTGCATGAAGGTTCCTTTTTCCCTACGTTCTTACCAATGGCGGATGTTTTCAAGTTTTGAGAGTTTAATCGGTTTTTGAATGAGCCCCATTTTATAGTTGGGAAATTTGAGGTTTGAGAGGGCAAGTTAGGAGACTGAGATCTCACAAAACTGCCCCTTTCCTGACTGCCAGTCAAGCTTCTTTGTCACAGTTAATAGGGGAAGATGTGAATTCACCTAGGTAGTTTGGAAACCACTGAATCCCTTTGTTATCTCTCATCCATCTATTCATCTGCAGCCATCAACAAATGCATATTGGGAGCCTTGGGCATGGTGAACAGAGACCATGGGCAGAGGCTACTGTTTGAAAAGCCCTTTCCCATCACCTGCCTGTACCTTAACTGGTCTTTTTGCCTCCCTATTTGCCCCCTGTGATCCTTTCCCCAGACCCTGCCAAGCAGGTGCAGGAGAGTCTAAAATATAAATCAACTGGGCTCTGCCTGGTGCAGCTCTTCATTGGCTTGATACTTAAGTGCTTGCAAAATCTGTGGGGTGTGGACCTACCTTCCCCTTTCTGCTGTGTCTGCATGAATGCTAGTAGTTGTCCTGCCCTTGGCTATTGGTGGTAGCTGGCTTTGAAGGTGGCCCCCCACATGATGTTCCTCCTGATGATGGATATAGGTTATATAGGTTATAAAAACCACCATGGCTGGGCACAGTGGTGCACAACTGTAATCCTAGCTACTTGGGAAGCTTAGGCAGGGGAATT